CTGACGCAGGTGTCTGATACACAGGCGTAGGCGTGGGAGCAGGATATAATTGCATCATGGACTGCTGCCACATGGATTGCAAAATATTTTGCATCCAATTAGTGTTCTGTAATGGCATTGACTCCTGAGCTTGCATCTGCTGCACTGGATAAGTTGGTTACAGCGCTATGTTGATATGTGCTGCCTGCATAACATTGTATGCTGATAGCCTTGGGGCGGACGTCATTGTAGATGCACTTGGTTAGTAGGCAGTGGCTGCAATCGGCGCAGGCATACGAGACGCAATGCTCAATGGCGTAGGCTTGTAAGTGACTTGGGTTTGCGCTACCCCCATCACAGCATTTTTGAGATGCTGGCACAGTCTTCACAGATCTAGCAGATGTAGATTTCGTAGGCGACTGAAAATTAGGGTCAATTATAATACTCACAAGATCCTCTAGATTTGAGGCTTTCGGCAGAGCGTGCACTTCAGCAGTGACAGTAACGGCCGCCATACTACCCGTCAAATAAAATGGTTGCGTTGTAATGACCGAAGCTTGTCCCTCGCTAATCAGTAATTGTGACATCTTCCTAGTCTCACGTCGGGATTGTTGCAAAATATGTTTGTGAGTGACCTGCCTATACGTCGTAAAACTCGTTGGAGAGAGATTGACGCAAAAAACACATTTAGAGTTTGGAGCACAAATTTGCATGCATGCCAGACAACATGGATGAGGATCTTAAGCAGCTTTTTCTCCACAACAATTAGTACAACGTGCAAGCCTAAGTTACACAAATTAGAGACTTTTGATGAAGCAGGATTTGAAAACTGCCGTAGAAATCTAATTAATCTATCGGCAAATTTTGTAACGAGTTGAAAGTGTATTCAATGATTTGTATATACTCAACTCAATGAATACGCAACCCAAAGCTAGAAGTATTATTTAAAAACACATAAATATGTTATACATAGCTGAGAATTGTAAACAAATTGACTACCCTGGCAGGCAAACAATTTTAACACAAATCAAAATGGTGGTGAACAGACATTATGTGTCAGGAAAAAAAGTCTTTTTACGCCTAAATAAATCGTATAAAACTTCACAACATGTTGAGAGAAATATGAAAAGAATACATCACAGATGAATTGTAGAATTGTAGATGAAAATTGAAGGTCTAAATAATTCCAAAACGAGAGTTTGTCCTGAGTTTTGGGCTGTTGTTGTAGCCCAGCAGGTTACCAACCACCGACGCAAATAATGAACTCACCCTATACAGAGCCATTCCATTTCCGGTGCAGTCGATCAGATTTCGCCAGTGGAAGAATATTAGACAATCGATTGTCTACAAGGCTCTATATGTAGTAAGTAAAGATTTGGCTAATGAGCTATTTGTCTTTATTACTAAAATGTATAAGGAGCTACTCTTTAATTCCTATGTTTAATTGTGTTTCAAATTGAAATAACCCGACCATAATGGCGTTTTTCTGAACTTTTCCACTTCACGCTTTATCGACCAATTGGTGTCGTACCTTCAGGGTGTGATTTATTGAGGTTTATGTATTTTGAGTGTTTCCCACCTCCAAACCGCCCAATACAGATGCATTAAGGAGTAATGCAGGATAAGTAAAAACATTTGTAAAATCTAAATATGTTTCACATTTGTATACTTATCCTGCATTACTACGTTTAAGGCCCACCCATCGCAGAGCTGCCTCCCCACTTTGGCTTCAGAAACCTCAAAAGTATGAAATCACCCACCCTCTTTAGAGCGCCTTATGCTAAAATTAATCCAGCAGGCAGGGGTAAGAAGTGTGAAAATAATTCAGCAGGCTAAAGGTTAAACTCAGACTACAGGCAGTGATGTGAAGTGGTGACCTAGGGTCACAGAGGTCACAGGACAGCAGCGGTGGGGTGTGAAAAGTGTGACTTAAGAACAGTTTATTAATTCTTCGCCCAGAACCATCGCCGGTACGCTGTCCCGTTTCTTTGTCACAAGGTAAGCAGTGAATGCATTAAGGAGTAATGCAGGATAAGTAAAAAAATTAAATAATAGATTATCTTTTGGGGCCAGCGCCTAAGACAAGATAGTTGAATCAAAAGCTGGTTTTCGCAAGGGGTATAGTAATAAAGATAATATATACATACTACAAGCAGTTATTCAACGTTACTTATCAAAAAAGTATGGGAAGATTTATGCACTATTTGTAGATTTTAAGAAAGCTTTTGAACTTGTTAATAGATATAAATTATGGGCAATCTTATTGCAGCAAGGAGTCTCTCCTAAATTTGTGAAGTCTTTACAATCTATGAGTGTGTCAAGGCCAGTGTCAGATCCAACAAGAGTTTGCCACTAACGTGGCTATATCCCCCGCCCCTATTGCAGAATTTATGACATAATTAAATCTCAACAAACCCTAACCTTTTTTTAACTGAGGTGGAACTTGTCATGGAAATTGTAAAAAAAAGAAGAGTTTGGAACCTAAGTCCATCTTGTTGCCATGGAAACGTAAAAAATAAAAATTTCTAAAATTTCTAAATAGCAAAAGGCACCAGTTCAGCATGTACCTGTCAAACCTGCAAAGTTTCATGAAAAAATATTGAACTGTTTATGAGTTATGATCCGGAAACGAACCCTACCCTCACAGAACCTAAGTCTATCTTGTTGCCATGGAAATGTAAAAAATAAATATTTCTAAAATTTCTAAATATCAAAAGGCACCAGTTCAGCATGTACTTAACAGACCTGCAAAGTTTCATGAAAAAATATTGAACGGTTTCTGAGTTATGCTCCGGAAACACGGACTGAGCCCCTTTCTATATATCCCGCCAACTTTGTTGGGCGGGGGATAATAAAATCTTTTCGGAGGAATTTAATTGTACTCTTGGTTTGATACAAGGTATTGTATTAAGCCCAATGTTGTTTTCTATGTTCATCAATGAACTCACAAGAGATATAGAATTATCATGTTCGCATGGAATACACATGGTACAACTACATCCCGATGTTGTTCAATTTTTTTTGTTATTATTTGCTGATGATACCATTTTGGTGTCTGACAGTGTGTATCGACTTCAGCAACGTATTAATATATTGAAATTGTTTTGCAATGAATATCGGTTATATGTAAATTTGGAGAAAACCAAGGTTGTTGTTTTTAAAAGAGGTGGTATCCTATCAAGGCATGAGAAATCTTTTTTTTGATCGAGTCAAGCTCGATTGTGAAAACTCCTATAAATATTTAGGTGTAACATTTACTAGGTCTTTATCATGCGGTAAACATGTCAAGGATGCAGCAGTACATGTAAAGAAAGTATTATTTGGAGTACTTAAATCAATAGCAAAGCTGAAGCCATTGTCGTTAAATATTTTGTTTAAAATATTTGATACCAGAATCACTCCTATGATGTTATATGGGTCAAAATATGTTGCTTGAGTCCTGACATTTGTAAGGAAATTGAGAGCATACATATGATTGCTTGTAAACGATTTTTAGGAGTTCGAAACTCAACCTCAAATTATGTTGTGAGTGGTGAATGTGGACATCATCCGCTGTATATTTATGCGTATAAAAGAGCTGTTATATATTGGTGTAATATTTTGAAAATGCCAGACTTGCGATATGTCAAAAAATGTTATAACATGCAACTTGAGGTGCTCAAAATTAGTAAAATTAACTGGGCTTCAAAAATTAGAAGCATTATTCAGCTAAAAGGTTTTGGCCTTGTGTGGGAGCATCAATACATTACGAATATCCCCATGTTTATAAATATAGAATACTAAACGAGCTCCTGTGTAATACCAATTTTATGAAACGAGTGAATAGTTGTGGTATCTGATGAGCAAAAGCGAGTCAGATACCACAACTATTCACGAGTTTCATAAAATTGGTTTTAAACAGGAGCGAGTTTAGTATTTTATTTATTACTTGCCATTTATAACGTTTTCAGAATTATACTGTTGAGTATGAATAGGCTGACACCTACACTATCCACGGCATAGTCCAACTGAGTTTAACAGAATAAATACTTCAAACACGTCAAAATTTGAAACGTATGAATTTAATACCATACAACGGTCCACCTTTAGAATTCACAAAATTATCATAGGGCTAAGACTATCACAACTCACATACTTGAACAGACTAACGACTGTCGTTGCGCTACAATACGATCGCCTTGTGGAACGGGCCTTGCACCTCAAAGTTTACAATAACATCACAATAACCGATGACGTAATTTGTGGAATTTTGTTGCAAGATCCATCAGCGAAACAATGCCATGTGAAGTCAGCCTAGCAACAAGGTTGCTGGGGTCATCGAGTGTGCATAAGATCCTCTCAGTGATCTATCAACTCCACACACAATGTCGTTGAATAAGCCAAGGGATGTTGAGAGCTTTCAATATTTGTTCCTGAAACATGTTCCGAGAGTACAAAAGCAAACGTTTTGGTATTACACAATGTGTAATACAGCTGTATGTTTATTAAACGGGTGATCTCTTCACGGGCAAGTAATAAATGAATTTCTATGTTGATTAAAATCTTCATATGAACAAGACTGGCATACAACTCTTTCAGGCAGCTCAAAATCATATAACTACCTGGAAATATTTATTACAACGTTACCACAAGAGAAATTTGGACATGCTCTGGCTAGATTACGGTGTAGTTCCAACCATCTACAGATCGAACCCTGGTAGAAAATGGAACCTAGAGTAGATACAGTACCTCCGACTGCATCATCCACACTCTACCCATTATATCCCACAAAACATCATTGTTTGTTAATCTTTCCTTCTAAGTAAAATAAATATTTTTTAGGCTGGGATACGGGTGAAAGTCTTAACCTGAGATATAGGCTTTTGTGAAGCGAGAGCGGCCACAAGTGGCAGTCTCCTGCGCCCCGATAAATATCATTGTTGCAAAAGAGACATTGACTGTTCAAAGATGCTGTTGCACCAAATGGAAACTGGCATGTCTGGTAAAAAATAAGCAAAGAAGTTTAGCCGAAGTTTACCCACCTTTGATTTAGCAAGAATTCCTACTTTGCCCCTCGCCATTATAATTGTCTTGACCACCAACAACAAATACACGTGTTGGACAACTTCCGGCTGGGTTCGCGCGAAATATTTCATCTTAAGTCGAAAACATTTACAAACGTAAAGTAAAGACTCATCATAGGCCTAAATCCAAACATATTGACAGTGAAATAACTAAACTACAAAAAGGTGACACAAAACTAAACTCATATCTCCATAAAATAAAGGGGTCCTACTATTTAACGTCCGGGGACGCCCGGGAACGTCCGGAAACGTCCGGGATGTTTCATCAGACGTCCGGAAACGTCCGGGAGGTTTCATCAGACGTCCGGGAATTTAAAAATACAGTGCAGTCAATAAAACATGTCTTTCTCAGTTTGGTAAGATCGTGAGAATATCAACTGGCGTACAAATAAATAGAAAAAAAATAAAAACAAACCAAAATGAGTACAAGTAACAGGGTAAAAAATATTTAATTGGCCGTAAAGGTTTTGTTCTTTATCCAACAAGGCGGACGTCAAAGTAAAAACAGACAATGTAAAAAATGTTTGTTTGTTTGTTTAGCGTCACAGTCAGCAATATTCCAGCTATATGACGGCGGTCTGTAAATAATCGAGTCTGGACCAGACAATCCAGTGATTGACAGCATGAGCATCGCTCCACGCAATTGGGATACGAAGACATGCATCAAAGCCAAGTCAGCGAGCCTAACCACCCGATCCTGTTAGTCGACTCTTACCACAAGTATAGCCGCCTCTTACGGCAAGCATGGGTTGCTGAAGACCAATTCTAACCCGCGTACCTATTTACAATACATAAGATGTTTAATAAATAATAATCAATGTTCATCATATCTCTCTATCCTACTTTCCTACAGTACATGAATTATTTTGTTGAAAATACTACTTTCTTAGAAAGTGAACGTCTTTGCTGTTTTAATCCTCTTTCGTTGTTCTGGTTTTCGGGCTGTCTGTGGTGTCTTGGGAATGTTGAGGCGACCATCCGACGAAACAGTAATGCTTTTTTGACATCTGGGGCCACGCAGGAACTTCCGAAAATGTCTGTCTTTCTCCTGTTGGCTTTTTGATGTCCAGCAGGCATTAAACAATTTAAAGCCTTCCATCCACGGTGTCAGTTGTAGTTGCCTTGGCCATAGAGGGCACGGCGCATGTCAGCATACTGGATTTTTACAATTGTGTGAAGTTTGTCAGTTAAATCCGGGATTTTCAATGATTTCCAATTGGTACTTAATTTGATGATGTTGTTCATGCTCTCACAGGCATTATTAGTCCAATGTAACGGAACTGCTTTTGGTCTTTCTTTTGAAGGCAGGAAAATGTCAGTTTTTATAGTTTTAATGACTTTAGAAAGGTAGGAAGAGGAATCGGGAACAGTTGTTGAAACAATGTCTTCTAGTTCCATTTGATTTAGTTCGAACTGATAGGAGTCATGGCTATTCACCAGTCCGGAGGGTCCAAAAATCTTCTGATGAATGAGTCGTATCTGCTGATCTGAAGCGCCAGCCTGATGTCGAAGGTGTCCTTATATATTTTGTTCTATGTGCCGTTCACATAAAATGTGTGTGGAAGCGGGGAAACAGTTTCGGAGGGCCTTAATCAAGCCCCTTTCTTCATCAGATCCAATTACCAGTTGTTTCCCTTGTGTCTGAGTCCCCCCAAGATTAGAATCTAGAAGTGCCTGGATATGTGAAAAAAATCTGTGATATGTTAGGTATGACCCATCCCAGTGAAGATAAAGGGGGGCTAGCATTATTGGATGGGTCTCTGTACCTTTTCTGTGTAAGTTCGGATGTTGAAACACTAATAAAGTCACAAAACATGCTCCTAAATTGAACGTCCTGTCAACTCCAACTACAACCGGTTTTTCTAACACTTGTACAGAACTGTTTTAATTCCTTAATTTGATCATGTGTGTATAAAATTACTGACGGCGGTTTTCCTTTACACTGAATAATCTCTTGAATGAACTCGTTGGTGTGAATCAAGTTAATGATGCTGATAAGGTCATCTGCAGTGTTCTGCCGCTTGGTGCCCTTGTCTTTTCTCACTGACTGTTTTAAATTTTGTACTTGTTTTAGATCTCTGGCAGCTAATTGTTCTCCCTGCTGCAGGTGCTTATTGTACACATCTCGTGCTGGTTGTGTCTTCACCTCTTCTCTTATCTGCTCGATGACAGTGTCGGGCGTCCTCACAAACTCGGCGGTAGACTTTTTTGAATATCCGTGAATGGCACAGGACTGTAAAATTAAAATAAAACATAATTGAAAAAAAGTATTAACTCTCAGCTGCATGAGTATACAGCTTGGATTCTAAAATTCCGAGGGAGTTCAGACTGACGACAATGAACGCATACAGATCGTTTGATCGGGGGAAAACAGAAGCGCATTTGAGCAATTATTGACTGGAAGACTACTATTTAGAATATTTAGATTTATATTTCATTCTTGATATTATTACAGAGATTTGCAACCTTTACACACAAGAAATAGGCCTACCTCGGGAAACTTGCCAGTCTATTCGACAATAGCTACTTGTGGATGAACAGGAGTGTGGCCGGTGGGGAACTGTTCAATCCAAGTCACCCGCTTATGATAGTCTGCACATCGTTTCAGTTTGTTATAATAGCGTTTACCAATTAGGGCTTCGCTATTTGGCGGCTGAATTGCCATCGGTACTCTCATACTTTTTTTCATTACACAATACAGTCCTTCCTTTTGCTCTAAGTATGTAAATTTGCCATTGACAAAATGATAAAAATGTTTCTTTTTTCGACCCCTTTCCCCACACACACCACAATCATCTACAAATTTACTTCGACGAGACATCGATCTGCGGGATATATTCTGAGAGTTGTCACAGATAAATGTTTCGTTTTCTTTTATTCCTACAGGAATCTCTGACTGAATGTCTTTCGCATTGATTATTGTCTGAAACGACTCCGGTACGTCCATGAACCCTCAACTGTTGGATAGGGAACCACGGACACTTGGTGATGAATCCTGTAGGGACAGCTCATCATTACTTGGAGTGAGAGATGAATCCTCCATGGTGGACACAGGAGGTGCTATTATCTCGACTGATGTATCGTTGGCTGTATGCTGAAACAATCACATCATATACATGAGAGAGATATCCCTGACATAAGCCACACGTACGTATGACCAGACAATCCAGTGATACATATCATGAGCATCGATCCATGCAATTGGGATCGATGACATACTTAAACCAAGTCAGCGAAATTGGCCACCCGATCCCGTTAGTCGCATCTTACCACAAGCATAGTCGCCTTTTACGGCAAGCATGGGTTGCTGAAGACCTATTCTAACCCGGATCTTCACGGGTGCGAATTAAATTTAAATAGAAAAGTTATATTATAAATAAAGTCGTCACAAGTGTTAATATGAACGTGAAATATGAACCTCGTCTAAGACATTATCGTAGACTCGTATTGAAAAGCAAAAAGAGACGAATTCTCTCTATATATAGAGAGAGAACTCGTCACTTTTTTATATAATATCGAAACTGGATGAAAGAGATGCTTACGTCGAGTGACGTCAGATCAAGGTCCATCGTTTCATCTGCAGGAGCGGCAGCACCGGAACAGTTCACGTCCTGTAAAGTGAATAATCTTGTCATTCGATGGTTTGTCTATACACGCCTAGGAGGCAACTTAATTCATATTAAGACAATAGTTGGCGTACTCTTCATTATCTAATCAACATTTTGACATAATAATTTGTAAGATCATGGTACCTTTATTTGGCTGATATCCATGTCAATCGGGATTTCGCTGAATACCGGAGAAGACGTTTCTGGCTTCATCTGCTAACAAACAGTATATTGATAAAACTTACAAGACGTATCCGATATGTAGCAATTAGTATATAGCATAAATATATGGTTTCACTGGACATACAGCTAATACATGTATATGAGTGACATACGTTTTTCTTAGGTGTTGAGGCGGTTTGTGTCTTGTCGTCGTGACGAGGCTTCTTCTTCTTTTGGAAATGTTCTTTACGCTTCACCTGCAAAGAGATAATGACCATTAAATATTTTGGTCGAAAAATAACTAACCATATCTCACCTCTGATCTCAAATGTTACAGTTTAAATTAACATCAGAATCAGCACTTACAGTTTTAGGAGGCCTCACTAATGGTGTAGGCGAGATGGTGATGACAGTGTCCCTGGTCTCTGTCGCATCGAGTCGCAGAGTTTCACCACTGCTACCGTCGCATTGATCTAAGAGGCAGTTACTGATCTGGGACATAAGTGAAATATAATACTTTCAAGAAAAGATAAGGAATATAACAGAATGACATATAATATGATCTCATTGGAATGTTACAGTTATGCACATGTCATCTCTTCAAGGGCAATGTGTAAAGTATTCATCGCCTGTTGAAGTTTTTTAAAATGACTACGATCGATGATCCTATCCAAGCCTCTTAATTAGTTGTTATATTATCTATTTATTTATTGGTTTTGTCGTAATAATAGCTCTTAAGTGTTAATGTTATATTGTTACCTGTTATAACCGACAGCAAGAGACTGATCCATCATGCCATTGATTGGGGGATAACACGAGATAATGTTTCTTCCAACAACAGAAGCCACAGCGTGCATAGTCCAAGCGGATGAGTGTGACTTATCCTTTGCACATTCCAGGGTAGCGCTTGTGTAGTCTGTACTGACAAGAGACAGACGCCTGTTGTCTGATAATTCAGTGTAGTAAGGAGCATTCAGTGTCATTTCGATACATGTCCTCACTCGCAGTTCTGTGGCTCTGATTTCTGACCCAAAGACACCAATACTGACAGCGTTGAACAGACAGTTCCCGTTTCCTGTCACCTTCAGTGGACTCTCCGGCATCTTACCACCGTACTGTTGAATAATTGACGCAGCAATATCATCAATAGCATTTGTGGTCACGCTGTTCGGTTTGTTATTTACAGTCAGTTCAGGCAAATTGGAAACCAGGGCTTGGACTTCCGTAATGAGACTCTCAATACCTTTAAAATAACAAAAAAAACTCAAGTTTAGGCGATTGCAGATTGTGTTCAAAAGGGTTAGTATATACTAAGTAGTGAGCAGTGGCAGTAATTGGATTGATTAATCGACACCATTAATTAATGTTATTATAACAAATTGGTGGTTTGATGAATTGCGTATTGCTTGATTCTCTTCGACAATGTCATAAAATACTTTCCATGTAAAACTGTATTCCAAAACTAACATCTAAATTAAAAACTAACTAGTTTATCGCAGTGTAGATCTAAATCAACAACAAAAAAGGGCAAAGAGTCGGGGTTTTCACTTACCGAGGGATGCAGCTTCCTCAAGTTTGTCCTGTACAGCACTGTAGTTGCATCTGCTCGATGTACAGCAATACTCCCCACTGCTGGCAGACAATTCTTCGAACTTCTTATCTGTGAGTCCCTCGCACTTAGGGTGGTGCCATGCCTTGCACTGCTCACAAAACACGCCCTTACGACAACCACGGTTGCACACCCGGCAAGGGTTGCTGATTGTCCTGGTGGATTTCTCTTCCACAACGAAACAATCCCATTGTCGAGGTTTTCGGTTTCTACGAAATTCCATGATTTCGAATTATTACTCTCTCTGATAGCAATTTCAGATTGTAATGCTACAGTAAGTACTTACTTACTTACTTACTTTGGAGATTTAACGTGCGCTTTCCGACTGATGCGTATTTCGCACACGGGCCCGGCCAGGCCATTTAATGTGTTTCCGAAAGGGGCGAAAGTGGTCTGTGCAACCCAAGAGGGGGGTTTTAGGGGTTGCTTATATAGAATTTGGGAATTGAGATTTGAAATAGATGCCGATGGGATTGGGGAGGAAAACTAAGGGAGCTGGGTATGGTGGATGTTTGTTTGTTTATGTGATTTTGATTTGGTAGGTTATTGTGTTTTTAGATGCGTTTTATTAGTTCCGTTTTTATTAAGAATACGCCTAAGGCCTTGAAGTTTTCTAGTTTATTTTGTGGGTTTAGTATTGCTTCTAGAGTTAGAGCCTTGTTTAGATTGAGGGTGGTTTGTAATGCGGTTCGATGTGTTGGGTAGTTAGTGTGTGCAGTGGATGAGTGCGTGTTCTGGGGTTTCTGGTTGTTTGCAGTGTGGGCAGTTACCTGTAGTGTGTTTTTTAAATTTTTTTAGGTGGTTATTTAGGTTGGTGTGTCCTGTTTGGAGTTTAGTGATTACTCTGTCGATTTTTTGGGATGGATGGAGAATTTTTAGTTTAGTTAGTGGTTTGCTGAGCACTTTTTGATTTGGCTATTTGAGTTTAGATATAGGTTATAGGTTTAGATATAAGTGAGTGAGTGAGTGACACTAGGAGATTTAACGTGCGCTTTCCGACTAATAGCGTATTTCGCACACGGGGGAACACTTTATACTATTGGGAGGAAAAAAGCGTAATGAATAAATAAAGAAGTGCGACCCAAAAAAATGTAACTTTTACAGACCTAATCTAATAAAGCTGCGGGGGGGGGGGGGGGGGGGGGGTTTGGCTGGGTGGGAGTGGGTGGTAAAAAAATACTCAATAATATGGAAAAGTTTGGGCGTGGGTTGGTGGGGAAGGGGTCAAGCGTGGGAAGGCATGGCGTCGGCGGGCGAGCGTGTGTGGCGACCAGAGGAGATTACCTCAGCTGGCCGGAGAGGAGCGTGGTGGCGATGTTGTACTCTTCTCGGCTGAGGCCTGGAAAGAGACCGTCAACTAGTCGAGCCGCCATGGCCTTGACGAAGTTGTTGTTGAAAACAACATCGCTGTTTTCCAGGAAGTCCTTGAGGTCCTGGAAACTGTGGATCTCATGCTCAAAGCGTTCGCCCTCTATGGACTGGACCATAACCATGGCTGGTTGGGGGCGGCTGCTAGGGTGGATCCGGTTGGTTGGTTTCCCGGAGGCGGGTGGAGGCAGGTGCTTGTTAGAGTCCATGACTTTAGCCGCTTCCCGGGTAAGTATGATCCGCGCGTCCTCTGGCTTCTCCTTTGGCACCTTGACTGGGTTGGTCTGGGTGTGGCTGTCTCAGAGAGGGGGGACTGGTGGTGTGGCGGTCTGGGTGTGGCTGTCATTGAGTGTAGGGCCTGGAGGGTCGGCGGTCTGACACTCTATGGACTGGGTGGTAGGAGTAGCTGGGATTGGTGAAGCGTCTGGGGAGAATATGCTTCTCCTCTTTCTCTTCTTCCTCCCGTGTCCTGTCCCCCTCGGGCGAGCAGAAGGGCTCCTCCCCCCTGGATTCGAGGGGAGCGAGCTCCAGTGCTGCTGTTGGGGGTGGAGGGGTGGTAGGAAGACTTTCCTCGATCTCCATGTTGGAGACTGGAGGGGTCTTCTTTACCTTGGGCGGCTTTTTCCTCATCACCGGGAGTGATGCAGCAGGGGCAGGGGCCGGGGCGGGTTTCTCCTTGGGCTTGGTCTTGGCCGGGGCTTTGACCAGAGGCCTCTTCTTTTGACCTAAGTCAAAGATGATGGAGATGGTGGAGGTTTTGGACTTATAAGAAGTCCTGAGGGAGTAGTCCCCAACCCGGTAAGCCAGTAGGGGCTCCAGGATGGAGACAAGCTCCCTCGGTAGTGACTTAGAGAGGTCTCTCATAGTCGACTTGTAGTTTTGAGAGCTCAGGAGGACGTGTTCGCGGGGCGAGTGTCCAAGCCGAGATAAGTTTAGAATAGAACTATTTATGTTGTACGTGTTTCTGACGTAGAGATGACATGAGATGTGAGAATTGACCCCCTTAATGTTATAACAACAATTCCTAGAGAAACGTGGAGATGACATGAGATGTGAGAATCGACCGTCTTAATGTTATAATAACAGTTCCTAGAGAAACGTAGAGATTACATGAGATGTGAGAATTGACCCACTTAATGTTATTACAACAATTCCTAGAGAAACATGGAGATGACCCACGTTACGAATACCTCGTCAGTTCGAATAACATCAAATCGTATTTGCTTTGCAGATTCACCATTTAAAAAGAATAGGGGTGTATGTAATGTTTTTTCCAGCTGTATGTTATTTAGTATAATTAATACAAGAACACAATTATAGAGAATACACTCTATTATTTAGTATCATTCTCCCGGACGCTAGGAAGGTGTGGCGCAAAATTCACGCCATCCGAGGCATCAAACGGCACAAAAAAAGCCCCAATATAAACAACTCAACAAACCCCACCCAAAAGGCCAACAACCTAGCCAAACACTTCTCTAAAGTTAGTAGCAACAGTAACTTCAGTAAGAAATTCCAAGATAAACTAAATAAAGAAATAAAATTCTCCAAAGAAATCAGACAAGACAACCTAGAAATAAATCAACCTTACACCATAGAAGAACTAAATCACGTACTAAACAATAGAAAAAAAGGAACAGCCCCTGGCCTAGACCTCACCTCTTACCAAATAATCAAACACTTACCTACCAAACTACTCCAAACTTTACTTAAACTATACAACCTAGTTTACCTAAACGGACAGGTCCCATCCTCATGGAAGGAAGCTCTAGTAATCCCAATACCTAAACCAAATAAACCAGCAGATCAGGCAAACTCCTATAGGCCCATATCCCTAACCTCAAATCTCTGCAAAATAATGGAACTTATGACTAAAAATAGGCTACAGCACTACCTAGACCAAAACAACATCATAAACCCCGACCAAAGCGGCTTCACTCCTGGCCGATCAACTCTCGATAACCTTGCCCGACTAGAACAGGATATAAAAACAGGACAGCTAAACAAGCAATACACCATAGGCATATTCCTCGACTTCTCTAAAGCTTTCGATATGGTATG